GAGCACCACGGTCCCTATGGTCATACTTGGAGGCGCCCTCGTCCCTGGAAAAACCCCGGGGATCATGGCTGTCCCTGTGAGGGCCCCTAGCGTCGCCAGCGCCCCTAGCAGGGCCATTGGTGGCGCCGCCGTCCCTGTGAGGGTCCCTAGGAGCGTTGCCGTCTCTGCAAGGGTCCCTTGAATCGTTGCCGTCCCTGAGAAGCCCACGGAAGCTCGGCTGTTCCTAGAGGATCCGCTGTGTACATCGCCTTCCCTGAGAAGGCCCCTAGAATTGCAGTTGTCCCTAAGAGCGCCCCTGGTGGATCCAGTGCCCCTGACAGGTCCCATGGCCGCACCGCCGACCCTGAGAGGGCCCTGAGGACGCCTCCGTGCATGGCATGGAAATGTGACCCTCACAGGGATAACGGCGATCCCAGGGTCCCTTACAGGGACAATGGCGCCTTCTGGGGTGTTCCCAGGGACGGCGATGCCCCCAGGGGCCTTACCACAGCGGTGGCGCCTTCAGGGGTCCTTCCATAGGTGGTGTCTCCCCCAAGGACCCTGTTTGGGGCTCCACTGCCCACAAGGACCCTGCCAGGGGCTGCGGCGCCCCTATGTGTCCTCCTAGGGACGGTAGCGCTGCTGTTGGCCCTCCTAGTGGCAGTGGGTGTCTTTCCAGGGGCGGCAGCGTCTCTGCCAGGGGCCACGGCGCTCCCAGGGGCCCTTCCACATGCAGCATCGCCCCAAGAACTTCATAGTTTTGTCGTACATTTTGCATTCCTCCAGTAATCCCTTACTTAACTGTGACAGGAAGATAACGTCATCAATTACAGCCACAGAGAACAGAGCACCCAGTCAGCATTAACATTCTCTTATCTATGCTTTGCTGTTGGATATTTATTCTCGTTTCACTATTTTTAAAATTCTGGGAGATATGAGGTTAAATAAATACACCGCCCATCGCATTTTCAATATTATAGCAACCTTAACAATGAAACGGAGAATAAATATCCAACAGCAAAACATAAGTTGGGGTGTTGTATTGACTGATTGTTCTGTTTTCCTATTGGCTGTAATTTGATGATGTTACCTCTTATTCTACCAATCAAAGTTAAGTAAGAGATTACTGGAAGAATGCAATATGTACGACACCACTATCCATTGTTTTCGGGCACCGTCTCCCCTAGGAGGACCTATTGTGAGCCACAGGCCTTGGCAGGGTCCCTGGGAGCAGTGGCTGTCTCATAAAGAAGCTTTCTTCCTTCCACCTGCATCATCGCCCCAAGAACTTCATAGTTTTGGTCAGACATTTGATTCGTCCACATTTAACTGTGATTGGTACATCGTCATCAATTACAGCCAGTCAACACTTCTGTCTTGAGTGCTTTGCTGTTGGATATTTATTCTCGTTTCACTGTTTAAACTCTGGGAGATATGATAAATGGACACTGTCCATAGCATTTTCAGTATCATCGCAACCTGAACAATGAAAAGGAGAATAAATATCCAACAGCAAAGCATAAGTTGGGGTGTTGTGCTGACTGATTCCTCTGTTTTCCTATTGGCTGTAATTTGATGACGCACCTCTTATTCCGCCAATCACAGTTAAGTAAGAGATTACTGGAAGAATGCAATATGTACAGCACCACTATCCAATGTTTTGGAGCGCCACCTCCCCTAGGAGGACTTAATGTGAGCCACAGCCCTTGGCAGGGTCCCTGGGAGCAGTGGCGCCTCTTAAAGAGGCCTGGGTGGAGCCACCGCCTCTGGAAGGGTCCCTGAAAGTGCCACCGCCTCTGGCAGGGCCGCTGTGAGCACCATGGTCCCTAGGAACGTACTTGGAGGCGCCCCCTTTCCTGGAAAGGCCCCAGGGATCATGGCTGTTCCTGTGAGGGCCTCTAGGATCGCCAGCGCCCCTAGAAGGGCCCATGGGGGCGCCGTTGTCCCTGTGAGGGTCCCTAGGCGCGTTGCCGTCACTGCGAGGGTCCCTTGGAGCATTGCCATCCCTGAGAGGCCCATGGAAGCTCGGCTGTTCCTGGAGGAGCCCCTGTAGACGCCGCCTTCCCTGAGAAGGCCCCCTAGGATTGCAATTGTCCCTAAGAGTGCCCCTGGTGGATCCAGCGCCCCTGACAGGTCCCCTGGGGGCACCGCCGACCCTGAGAGGGCCCTGGGGTCGCCTCCGTGCCTTGCATGGCCAAGTGACCTTCACAGGGATAGCGGCGATAACAGGGTCCCTTACATGGACGGGGTCGCCTTCAGGGGTGTTCCCAGAGACGGCGGCGCCCCCAAGGTCCATACCACAGCGGTGGCGAATTCAGGGGCCCTTCCAGAGGCGGTGTCTCCCCCAGGGTCCCTCTATGGGGCGCCTCTGTCCCCAGTGACCCTGCCAGGGGTTGCAGCGCCCCTATGGGCTCTCGTAGGGCCGGCAGCGCTGGTATGAACCCTCCTATTCGTAGTGGGTGCCTTTGGGAGGGCTCCTGTGGAAATCGCCTCCTCTGGGAGGGCCCTTGGTAGCACCGCCGCCCCTGGATGGGCGATTGGGGGCGCCGCCACCCCTGGCCGGGTCTCTAGGGACGCCACTGCCCCTGGCAGGGTTCCTGGGGTCGCCGACACCCGTAGGGAGGACCCCTGGTGGTGCCGCTGCCCCCGGGAGCCCCCCTGGGGGAACCGCCGCCCTTGGGATGGCCCCTGGTCCATATGGCAGAACGGTCTATCATTGGATAGCACATTATGCTTCCAATATCTTCCCAGGCGGTAATACCTCCCTGTTTGGTAGCCGTGTACTACTTACTATCTGGCTACATGACAATAACAAGGGTGTGTTCTTGGGCTTACGATGCCTGTTATCCTTGAGCTGCCTTTTAAAGTATGGATTAATAGTTACGGATTAATAAATTTCAATGTACTGTACATTAAATTTCCATAATTAGATGTGTATAGTATTGAGGGTTATGGTGACTGGTTGAAATGAGTTATGGTGACTGTTAGAATGAGTATGGTGACTGGTTGAAATGAGTTATGGTGACTGTTAGAATGAGTAAGGTGACTGGTTAGAATGAGTTATGGCGACTGGTTAGAATGAGTTATGGTGACTGGTTAGAATGAGTTATGGTGACTGGTTAGAATGAGTTATGGTGACTGGTTAGAATGAGTTATGGTGACTGGTTAGAGTGAGTTATGGTGACTGGTTAGAATGAGTTATGGTGACTGGTTAGAGTGAGTTATGGTGACTGGTTAGAATGATGTTATGGTGACTGGTTAGAATGAACTATGGTGACTAGTTAGAATGAGTAATACGTGGCAGGGTTGCTTAAGTGAATAAAACATTTGGTATTGATTTTTACCATCTGCTCACGACACTCGTACACACACACACACACAGTACACGATCACCTTCAGACTACACCATAAACACATCTACACAATACACTCCTCCACACAAACAAACACTACATGCCCATCCTCACAATACACCCCTTCACACAAGCAAACGCACCACTACACCCCATACACAGTACACTCTCATACACACTACGCCCTCATACACACTACGCCCTCATACACACTACGCCCTCATACACACTACTCCCTCATACACACTACGCCCTCATACACACTACGCCCTCATACACACTACGCCCTCATACACACTACTCCCTCATACACACTACACCCTCATACACACTACACCCTCATACACACTACACCCTCAAACAGCCCCCTCCAAAAAGATAAACATAAATAGACTCCATATCACCCCCCCCAGCGACACCCTCTCCCGGGTAGTGCTCGTGTGTTTACTGTTTGAGCACCTCAGTACGAGTGTGTGTCGAGCAGCCGAGGGGAGCACACGGGTTGGCACCCACCGGTAGCAACACACTTCGCTCACCTCTAGTCACTTCTTGTACTCAAGCTAGAAGCACTAAGCGACACTGACGCATCGCAGGAAACTTATCTAGTGTTACTATACTTGTACTCAGGCTCTAGAACCACTCAGCAGTACTCTGAAATATCACAGGTAATTCATCTAGACGTATTGCCAATATTGTCAGACTAAATTTGTTCTCAGTGACCCTGTCGTCAATACGTTACACACTGACACATGCCAAAAGGCGACATTCGTGAATAAGTTTTTTTTTTCCTTTGGTTACGAGTGGCACTTGTTATTGTGTTTTTTCTGTCTCTTTGGATTGAAAAAAAATATCAACTTGAACTCATTTTCTGAATACACCCACTCGCTATTTCATATTCTTCCACTTAAGTGCTGTTTAAAGAAAATTATATGTATTCTACCCTTGAAAGTTAAGTGGCAGGTTAGAAATAATATTAACATTCACTCCTTCCAAATTTAAGTGTTAAATTAGGATCCAAAGTGTGAATTGGAGTTTGATGTGACCTTGACCTTTGATCTTGGAGATAAACCGAGTAAATAAACCAAAACAAACCAAAACAAACCAAAACAAATCAAACAAGTAAATAAAAACTAAAATCCACTGTACACTCCAAATATCTTTTCCTCCTTATCATCCTCTCTCTCTGTAGTACCTGGTTTCTCTCTCTCACTCTCTTTTCCTATCAGCTTATCTGCTCGTTTATCTTCTTATCTACCCATCTAGAATATGCTAATTATGATAAGAGACTTTCATATCGAGCAAATTGGTTAGTCTAACCCCAGCTGATACCACAACATATACATGCAGTTATTTACTTAGGGTAGAGTCCCATTTCAGGTGTGTTAACGAGTTGTATGTTCAGGTGTGCCTTTCGTCCCTCTGTATGTTCATTTTTTTTATATCCCTTTCCGTTTCTTCCTCTCTACATCTGTCCACCTGTGAGATTGTCTGTTTTGTTGTTTATTTTTTTGGCCCCTAATCACTCTCTCCAAGGGCGGATCCAGGGGGTGTGGTCCTGAGGGTCTGGACCTCCCCTTTTTCACAGGAAAATTCCAGTACTTTTTCTTTAATGCAGTATTTTACTCAGTCATTTTTGTATTGTAAAAGGTAATTACTATTGGCCTCAGAATATCGCCTTATATCAAGTGCCCATGGCTGCAAAATGGCATAAAAATGCCTTTGATATTGGTCAGATTTAAAAAAATCTTCGGGAGGAAGGGGGGGGGGGGCTTATAGCTCCCCTCCAAAACCCCCCAGCTGGGTGGGCTCACCATGTTCCCCCACCCAAAACTTTCTTGGATCCCCCCACCTTTTGATATTCCTGGATCCACCCCTGCTCTCTCTCTCTCTCTCTCTCTCGCAATTACACCTTTCAAAATCACAGTAAAAAAAAATCCTCACTATGAAAATTACTAAAAATCATGAAGACTAGGCCCAATAGTCTGTACACTAATACAGTATTTATGGATGCTAAGATACAGGTGGGCTGGCCGGACACCTGTTGATCCTCTTGTTTGGCAGGTGTTCATCATGTCAGAAACGTCACCTTCCCACTTGCAGATCTCTCTCTCTAAAATTTAGAGCATGAATTTAGGAAATGTTATAAGAATTTCAGCAAACAACTTATAATTATCCTTCTACCATAGGAATGACCCTTAAATGTTTTTAACATGAGAATGTTTTATCTTCCCCAAATGATGAAGGATGGTGGTGGTAGTGTGTCAAGTTCCCCATGGTGTTGCTGAAGGCCACAACCAAATGTTCTGTAATCAAGGCATGGTAATGTCTTACTGTTCTGTCAATTCTAAATTGATCGTGAACTTTTTCTATACCTTTCTACAGTGTAGTAAATGGGTTATCACATCTCCAATTAATGGGAACATCTATAAAGCACTTACTAATGTTACTAAGGTTTGTTCGGGACGAGGGCATCAGGCCTGAATATCCAGACACTTTGCTGATATTAATTGATACTGAATCGGGCTGGCAAATAATGCTATTACAAATCTTGAAACATTACTTACTTGAGTTAGAGGTGAACACCAAACTTAGGTTGTGTTTGGTCAGAAACTTGTGGTTGTCTACCTTTAATTATTTTCTCTCCCCAGTAATTTGTTGTGTTGTCGGCAGGTTTCTCCTCTGGGCACACATGTGAGACACTACTAACTCCTGTATACATTGTCAACAAGTGCCTGGACATTTAAGGAGTTCATGTGGATGTGTCAAGACTATCGTAAAGAGACAGGAGAAAAACTATGACTATTCAAGAATACTGCAGGGCATGAAGACGGCTGTGAAGATTTAAGAATATTATACATGGTCTGGACAATTGTGACCATCCAAGAAAAGTGTAAAAGTTCAGATAAACTGAACAAAACGAAAAGTTGTGGATGGTCGAAAAATTATGTATTGATGGAAAAAAAAAACCTATGTGAACAAATTTTGAACATGTGGGGAGTACTGTTGACTCAAACACTAGACAGTTAAGTTATCTATGAACACTAAGCTTAACTTAGGAGTATCAGGAACATGGAATTAACTGACAGGAAGGCTATATAGTAGGGATCATCATGGGGCGTCACAGGTGTATCAATCAAAAGGTTTATCGGTGAAGTTGTAGTCGTGATGCTTGTCGTTCAGTTGTCTGACAGGGGCGACGAAGGAATGGAGGTGACAGTGAGAGGCCCTTCCACAACCTTCCTTGTATTCTCCTACATCTTTCTTTCTCTCCTCCTCCTCGCTCTGGAGGTCACCCATGTCCTCCATTCCTCCCTCTCTCTCTCTCATTGGCTCAGGCTTGACCTTCTGCAAGTGTCTACCCTCACAGTTAGACCGACCCCTTGGTAGCGGTCAGTAAACCTGTCGATTGTCTGGTGGTTTTGGTGGATATAAATTGTACTGTGTCGAGAACTATTGGAAGAAAAGTTACTAATTAGATTTCACCACGATGATCCTTCCACTTATTATTATCATCAACCCTGGTGCTTTAACGAGAATCAATTAAGAGTGAGCAAGACATGTAGGTAAAAAAAGGTAACGTATTAAACTAAGAACTATATGAGGCCTTAGTGTACCAAAACTACTCTAAGGTGGACGGTAATTATCGAATCGTCTGAATAATTGTTAACGTTTTGCCCCTCACACCACTGCTATCAGGATTCAATTTCAAGTCCTAGTAATCTGAGATTCATATTTGTTTTGTTTAAGTATAATAACCTCTGTCGGTCTGTATGTATGTCTGTCAGCCGGTGCATGCCCAGTACTTGCCAACAGTGCGTAACAGAGACGTGACTGATCGCCCAAGCGGCTAATGAGCCGATCAGTGGTGGAGGATAAAAGTAAATACGTATCTGTTTTACATAAAATCATCTGTCAGTTTGTCTACCTGACTGTCTGTCATATATAATATTCTGTCATATCATTTATATATATATATATATATACAGTTAACCCTCACTTTACGCGGTTAATGTAACCCGGAGGGTACCGCGGAAAGTGAGGAACGCGTAAAGTGAATAACATAACATATGGGATTAATTGAAATAGAGTCCAGGCCGACCCCCAAACTCCACTTTTTGACGACACACAACTATGTTGTAGTAAAAATATTATCTTAACTTTATGATGGCATGCACACACAATTAATAATTAAGAGAAATATCAATAATATTAGGTTTTTTAACACTTACATTAGTAGAAAAGATGGCTGGGCACACGGGGATGGGCGGTTGGTTCCGAGGCAGAGGGCAGATTATTGGCCCTCACCTGTATCACTTGTATCAATTGTATCACTATCCACCACAGAGGCTTGCAGGGCCTCTTTGTCAAACCCCCCAAAGTTCATATAAGTCCATATCCTCACTATAATTATCACTATCACTGACTTGGGCCGGCTGTAGTGGGTGGCGGGTGAAGAACTGGTAATGTTTTGATGACTGGGCGACCTTGTGCGCACCATTTTCGCGCCTCTTACACAACATGGCGGATGCGGGAGGTTTGGATCCAAAAATGGCGCGGCTTGCCAGCCGCTCTCCGCGTAATGGGGTACACGCACCGCGGAATGTGAGCATGTTAGGTTCCAGCAGGGCACCGCGTTAACGGTGAAACGCGGAATGCGGAATGCGGAATGCCTGTCTGTCTATTCATATCTGCCTGTCTACCTATATCTGTCTGTCTGTCTGACTATATCTGTCTGTGTTTGTCTGTCTGTTTATATCTATCTATCTATCTGCCTATATGTCTGTATGTCTTTGTCTAAATCTGTCTGTTTGTTTGTCTATCAAAATATGAGCTAACATCTTCTATAAGCTTATACAAGTTATAATATTGATGATATATTCCTCCTATACTGCCCCTATAAAACAATTATGTTCTCCATAGCAACGATACATGTAAATGAAAATAACAGTCCTAAGAAAAAAAAGGAATAAACAAATCAAAGAATTAAAAAAAAACTCTTCTAACCATAAAAAAAAAAACTCGTCAGGTTTACAAGGTCTCTGAGAGTCACAGGACCCCAGCTGCTGTATTAAGTTTCAGAGGGCCTTTGAGTACCAGATAATAACATTTTCTTAGGAATAAATAGTACATTGGCAGAAAATTTAAGGTTTATTCTATATTCCTCTTTCCAACATACACATAATATACTGGTACACTAATAGTTTACATAAGACCAAATGTACACACACTTTAATATATCAAAGAATGCCAACCTCAGGCAGACAGTGATAAAGCATTTTCATCATTCACAGCAAGATAATTTTTCTATGATGAAAGTGAATACAGGGGTACTTATAAAACACTGCTTTATCTACTGAATTCAAATATCTAATTGATGAACCAAGGCTTATCACTACTGCCAGCACACAGACATCATCATCACACTGCACGACCACAACAACGTAGAGAAGTTATAATGTACAGAACACATAGACAATATACTTAGACTCATATAAAGATAATTGGCCCTAGTTGAGCCGTGCACTCACGGAGTAGCAACACTGACCACAGCTTTCAAGTAAGTGTCACTAATGTTTACTTTAGGCCCTGGATCAATACCTAATTATTGTACTACACAAATTTTAAAGTTTTCTAACACTTAGTGTGTTAATATGATACGAGAGTAGAGGCAGCGAACTTTGAGAGAATCAGTGTTGTGCCGCTACAGTGACTGCAGTGCTCAGCCGAGTGTGTCTGTTGTATAAGTCTTATATTATGGCGGTACTTTTATCTCTGAAATAGGAATCCCCATAAAATATCACAATTTCAAACTCAATTAAATGATTACATACTTGTAATTCTATAATATTTTCATAATATTCAGACAAATCCTACTGATCATAACTTAAGAAGTACTCGGTGAAACATTTTCTGATGAGAATGAATAACTCATGGTTTGGTCATCACTGTAGGATATGATTATTATTACACAGTGTATCACCACCACATAAGCTCTCCGGTCTCTTCTACAGCTATTTCATACATTTTTCATTCATTTACCACACAATATAATGAAAGACTACACACACACATACAGTCCACTATGAGTTGCACCTTCCTAGTATCCAGAGTTTGTGCAGATTTGTGGAAATGTTCGATATGTCTGTTGAATAGACGACAAATACAAAGACAGTGGTTGATGCCTTAATCAGCATGAAATGAGCACGGTATTATTATTCACTACCGTACTCTCTTTGAAACACCAACAACCACTCTTAAACTCGATGCAATATGATCGAGATTTCAAAGAGTGTCAATACTGTAGATTGCAGCCATGGCACTTAAGCTCAGACCTATTGTCTAATATTTCATGCGGTAAAAGCTATTCATACTTAAGAGTGTACAGTAGTGTATTTAAATCTTACAGTACACAGGAGAAGATGAGCTAGCCTGGCTTCATTCATAAAATTTTGCACAATTGTTAATAAAGATGATTTTGCCATATTCACCACTTTCTGAACTACTGTACAGTACTGACAAAACTAAAACTGTGATGTCATTAACTGATCATTAAACTCCTAATTATGTATAGCCATTACCTCCTTCTAAATACATCTCCAAGATGTAAATCAATTATCATCTTGGAGGTTCAGGTCTGTATCGCTCTTCCTCGGGCGTCAGTGCTGGCTGCCAATGCCTCAAACTTTGGCTGAGATATCAGACTTGGCTAGATTTTCAAACACCTCCACTGTTGTAAGCTTACAGTGTAGTTAAGTATAACATACACCTTTAAACTACAGCCATACAAAATGCTTAGTATGTTTTACATGCGTACAAACATTTGGTCTGTGACCTATGGTTGAGCACAGCATATATAAAATGCCAAAGGTATATTTGGAAACCACACATGACATTCAACCACCCTGTAGTAGGTCTACAACACTGGAGGTAGATGACGCAATCACAGTGATGTAAAAATAGATTATATTAAACCCCATAGTTAGAAAATCAGTGTATATTAGACGATACACAAAATTTTATTCAAACCATAATCAACATGAAACTGATAAAGATTCTAGTTTGATTAAAGTTTCGTCTTATATAATTAATTTTCCATTTGTGGGTTTCAATGCCAATTTTGAGGTGACAAACAATATGGCCAACTGACTCGAACAATGGGTAATCAGTTAAACTACATTTGGTTCCTTTTGCCTTCCTATGAAAAGCTCTTTGGCACACCATGAATCATGCCTCATCACCAGCTTGTGAGAAGACCAGTCATGGCTCCACAAGGAAGGTTAAATCTAATTAAAGTACAGATTATCACAAATATAAGCATGAAAAGGAAGAATCAACATGTTTGTAAGCATGAGAGGGGCATGTTGATTTGTTTTTATCTGCAATGAATGTATTGGTCTTGGGGTAGGAAAGGGTTTACCAAAATATGAAACAGGAATGTGGCTGTGAAGATAATGGACATGATCCCATACACAAGATGAACCAGTGCACTACACAATCCACAAAAAAGCATTGGAATGATAAACTTTTGATATTTTATAACCTCAGTGCCATTTTTTACTAAAAGCTATACTGATTATATTGATGGATATCACATAAATCAACTTTTATAATAAATATCATATGGATAAGTACAGTATACTGTACTGTAATAAATCACCTAAATTTGACAAAGAACTATTCAATTGTTTAAATTAGCTTTTCATTATTTTGTTTCTCATCTATAAATTCAGATTTCCATAAATGTTTATGGTATAATTACAATATAATATATATTAACAGCACTTTACTATAAACTTTCCATGGATAATTCCCTCCCCTACAATGCAAGTGTATAAGGAGAACTATGGATTCAGATAGTGTAAACAGTGTATAGTCTGTGAGGAGTGTTTGTGTTTTCATGTTTAGAAGCTGAAGCATCTAAACAATGGCTAAATATAAAGATTCAAAGACAACAGAGACTGGAAGTTATCACTGCTAACTCTAACAGAGTAAAGCCAATTTTAACTAGCACTCACAAATAGTAAAGCCAATCTGGTAAACGAGAAGAAGCACTTGCATGGCATGTACTTCAGATAGTCACCACTTAGGAATTAAAAAATGCCTACCAAGTTGCTGGAAAGAACTCAAATGGCAATATCTTCTGATTCTTTCTACTGCTCAAAATCTTGCAAAAGTGGTGATACAATGTAATCAATGCCTGACCACAAATTTATAATACTAATTATTAATTTAATGTATCAAAAAATAATATCAGTATCTGATAATTAGATCCCAAAATGTGAAAAAAAATGCCACTCAAATTTTTGCATTACCCGTATTTAAAATTACCCATAAGAGAAGCTTTAACTTTTTATATTTTGTTTATTAAGAGTTCTTTCCAGCAAACTGTTGCAGACCCTGAACTCTCACTTGGGACCCATCCTAATCACTGGTCATGAGCCAGTAATACAAAAGACTCTAAGGCTGCTCCTTGTAGTTGCCTTTTAGTGCTGCTCAGAGAACCTTAAGAATCCATCTGAGGTCACCTTAAGCAAAACAAGCTAGTGAGATCCAGATGATCTGCAAGAGATTTTTACTTGGTATCCAGTTGGCTTTAAAGGAAACATACTTGTAGACAAAATGAGATATCAGTACTTGTATGAATACTTATCTCTGAATGGCAAGAAATCTGGACTAATCCATCTCAGAATATACAGTACAATAAGGCTCCGCTCCTGTACTAACATATGACTTATCAAACATTAAAGAATACTAACATCATACAGCTTATAAATGGTCTTGGCGCTGTTAGTAATATAATGCCTTATCAATTATAAACAATAGAAACATCACATTAAGAGATCAAAAAGACTAAATAAAATCTAAAAGACATATAGACAAGGTGCATTATAAGCAATACGTGTGTGACTGAATCCTTCGACACTGTGCAATAAAACAGAACATTCTACTGTACAAACAGTACAGTAGTCACATATCTCGATCTTATATTTCCGTTAACAGAAACAGAGATGAGAATTTCTTCTTCAAAGAGAAGGTAGATTGTCACTCATATTCCCTAAAGAAATATGATGCAATATCGAATCTTTCTTGTGGTGCTATAATAAATTAGATACAGTATTTATCATTTAGGTTTAAATGTAGCCTCAGGATCCATGATAAAATGCATTGATTGCCTTGAGTCAAAAGCAACGATCATGCAACATTTACAGAGTAAACAAACCCACAAATATTTCAAGGAGTTTCAAACTACAAGAAAAGTAAGTCTACATTAAAGCCCTTCCTTAATACTTCAAGAACTCTCTTATAAACACACTCATCCCCTCACTTATACATCACTATCCAATAAGAATGATCATGGTTTTTACTTAAAGCTGCCAGTACAGTAGTTTACATCATTAACATAACAATAGGTATAAACTCTCTTAGGATGCCTCACAAATAATAAATATAAACAAGTTTATTGAGAGAAAAAGCAGAGACCAAAACTATAACCACTCTTTCCATTGGCCCCTTTAACTGCTCCTAGTTTATGTTAAACAGATAGGAATATATCTAATAATTAAGCCCCTTAATTATCTTGTGAACCAATAATCTACAAGGTGTGATCCAAAAGTTCCAAGACTGGTTTCATAAAACCTTTCTCTTAGCAGAGATCAAAATCGAATCATCAGCAGTTACTCACCTTGGGTATAAGTTGTTTACCGCGTCGATTTGGCGGGAATCTGTGGCGCCAGCCGGCTGTAGTGAAGTTTTCTGTGAGTGTGTGTACCGGCCTATCTGCTAAGTCAAGTCAGTCGGCACTCGACCCCCAACATGGAGGGAAGTATTGAGCAATGCTGTGCCATCAGATTTGGCTTCAGAATAGGAAAAAATGGTGCAAAAACCCATGAAATGATCAAGGAAGCCTACAAGTTTTCAGGTGGCACAAGCACTTCAAAGAAAATGAGCATCGTTCTGGGCGGCCTTCCACTGAGAGAAATGATGAAAATGTCCAGAAAAATGACCAGCTTGTCCATGAAGATGGTAGGGTGACCATCTGTGAGATTACAGAGTGACTGCACTTCTCCTATAGAAATGTTAACCGGATTCTGACTGACGACCGGCAATTGGCTGCTTCACCAGGACAACACACCTGCGCACTCTGCCCTCTCTGTGAATGATTTTCTGGCAAAGCACGGAATTCCAGTGGTCCTCCATACACTCCAGTTCAAGTTGAACCTCAAAGGGAAGAAGTTCATGGACAGAATGGAGATCCAGGAAATATCGCAGAAGGTGCTCTCCAGCCTCACCAATGAGGACTTCCAGATCTGCTTCCAGAAGTAGGAGGAGCAGATTCAGCACTGCACTGAGGCCTCTGAATTGAGTTGAATTGAATTGAATGGAGACTATTTTGAGTGTGACTAAAGTTTCACTGTAATATCTTGAAAAACAAAGATTTTATGAAGCCAGTTTAGGAACTTTTGGATCACACCTCGTATATAGATAAAAAATAATGACACATGTTGTTAGCAAAATCCGAGTTCCATTTTATCTTAAGAATTGTCAATATCTGGTTGATGTAATAAATAAAAACAAGAGGCAGGATATATCGTAGAATAACAAAGTCTCTGAGTTTTATAGCTGATGTCCTGCACCATGCAAATGAATGACTAACTGTAAGTAGTAAGTGAGAGGACAAAACTTTAAAATAAAAAGTATTTCCTGTTGAAGGCCCAATTTGATAAACACATTTTTATCACTTGTAGACATTAGAACACCTTCGACTCATTTCTTCCAGTATATACAAATAAGAATCATTGGTGACCAAGACAGAGCGATCAAACTAACTGACCTCTACTTGTTACACTTCACCCACTCCAACATATTGATTACCACACTCGTGTCCAAGTGATCCCATCAATACTAAATGAACCACATTAGAGATGTAATCATACTCCACAATCATTTTAAGGAGTGCCAAAGAGTGATCGTATTCCTAAGGGTAAGAAACTAATCAGGAGTATGATCCATAGAGAGGCAGTCCTGGGTGCTACGGCTCCTCCTGTAGTGGCAGTTAGACGGTCCCCATAGACATCCAGCAGACGTAGGGCTACACCATTGCTCCAGCCAAAGCCCACCTGAACGTCGTACTCTCCACCACCTCCTGGTAGACCCATCACACTCACGTTGTACTGAGGAGAAATTTAAGTTGTAAATTTTGTTAAGAATTATTAATGCCAAATGTTACAAGCTTTCTACAAATTCATTGTATGAAATTACCAGTACCAGTATTTACTATAAGACCCAAGGGTGCAACAGTAGCGTACATTCTACATAGATATTTAAAATACTTTAGAATGTGTACAGGTATTATCAATTATTTTTTAGTGATTTAGTATTTTCAGTATTTTAGCATTTTTAGGTTAGATTAGTTGAAAAAGGTGAAGAATATGAGTTGAAAGTTAATGCTGTATAGATGAAAGTATGGAAAAAATGTCTCGGAATTTCCAGAAAATAAGCCTGATTTTCATCTCTCAAACCCAGAAAAACTCCCCTATCCACGGAATTTTTCAGAATTTTCCGGGTATCTGGAAAATGTTCTCAGAATTTTCCAGAAAATGTGCCCCTCGTAAAATTTCAATTCCGGCTATTGGAGAGTTTCGGGTTTGAGGGATTCCGGCTAACGGAGATATTACTTACTGTACTGTATACAACAAGGAACTTAAAACAAGTGGAAAACATTGTGTGTAATTGGGAAGTAACATAAGCTGTGATGGTAAATATATAGAAGAAATCATAAGAATAGGTCAAGCAAAAACAGCATTTAATAATACCACAGATCTATTACACAACCTTCTGCATCATTATTATCATCAGTGTTTTATGGCCATTTTTAGGCATGTGTGAGTTAGCAGGATTACCTGATGGCTAATTTTGTGGCTGGATAGCCTTCCTATTACAACTAGCAAGGCAGGAACATGGAGAACACTTCAGCGAAGTAGATGCACATACAGTATGTATTTAAGTTCTGGGTTCAGAAAAGCTCATGACAGAGAGACCAAGGAAGGAGCAGGAAATTGTGATGTTTATGTAAGAGATTTAAACAATTCCACAGAGGAGCTTATAAAATAACTAAGTACGGTACAGTATATCTGAAAATATATTACATTACCTGGGTAAGACTCTTAACCACTTGTGTACAGTATCCATTCTGTGCTGAATAAAATCGTCTGGTGTTAGTCAAATAAAATATTAACAGTGGTGTCCCCACAGTGAAGGAGTTAAATATGTGAAACAACATATCAATTCCATTAACATTTACCTTTTCAAACATGGCATGAGGTGTAGACTGTTGATAGGACTGCCAGTTAGTTCTGATCCACTTCTCAGCCAAGCTAAAGGATAAACTCTCAGCTTCGTGGTGGATAGAGCGGGCCTCGTACAGTCCCATGATGATTAAGTGCTGGAGTGGTGCCCATGCATTAGGGAAGTCCCACTGCTGCCCACTTTTCTCGAGGGAAGTAGGCACACCGCTAGGGATGGAAGAGAGATCCAAATAAAAATAAAATCCTAACTTTCTGACCTCTTAAAGTAAGGAAACACTAGTGAGACATCTTACTGTTGTTAATATCTCTTGCTATCAAATCTTGGAACACTTATGGTAATTGAATATTCGTGTTACACTTCTCGCATAAACAATACCATTTATAAAGGAAGTAACAGAAAGACAGTATGTGTGTTACTGTTCTTGTGAGATGCAGGGATTAGTGTTTGTACCAGTTGAAATAATAACAGTAGCAGCAGCTAAGATTGAAGAGCCATATATGGAAACTGGTGAGTGTAATTTATATGAAACTTTTGCGGATGAAAGTCTTGGTGTAGGTGCATTAAATAACTACAGAGACAATGAGTGTTTTCTTATTTTTAAGATGTAATAATCCAACATATCCTCTCATGCAAAAAAAATTAAAATAAAAAATCATGTGGGCTTGAAATGGTGCTCATAACTTTAGGGGTTGAGTCCCATCTTGTAAAAGTGATCCACAGAGTGAAACATCCATATAATGGACTTCTCTCTCCATATAATACTTTCTTCTCCCTATAATCTGTTAAACAGAGTTTTTCCTGTATGAGTGTCATCATTGTGTATTGTAATTATACATTATTGTACCTACACAGTACTGCACTAGTGGTGAGGTACAGCATGGGGACTCACCTCTTATATTTAAGAACATCATTCTTCTTGAGGTATTTGATGACTTTCTCAATAGTGTGGGCACGGGGACCTTCCTGTCCATAACAGTCACTCCAGATGGGATGAATGTTGGACAAGTAGAAGTGCCTGGGAAAAACAAATGTATCAAAACCATGATAGTATAGACTTCTTCATCTATGTACTGTGAACATTTAGTTTTGAGAGTACTGTAGTAATATTAAGTCTTTCAGGCATTACATACTGTACTGTGGGTGGGCAGGCTCTAACCACACAACCACCACCACCACCAGTGTATCACTAAACTGAGGGAAGACTTTATTCTCAATAAGATTTTGACATATGAACAGTTCAGTATACAGAATTGGGTAAAATTCTATGCCTCTTAAATACAAATATATACATATTCCTGGTGTATGAAACATAATTTTCTCTTCTTAGAATAAAAAAAAATACAATAACAACAGTATACAATTTATTTATAATACTTTTCATCAATTTAGAAGATTACATGTCAAAATATGAATATACAACAGCCATTTACATTTACAGTACTGTACTATATCACAGACCTTCACTACAGTTGTTTCATTTAGCTACGAGCATGATGACTCTTACCTTCTCTTTCCATCGGCATTTATATCAATGTCATACCAAGTTCCATCTGTATCGTCCCAGAATATCTTGGCCATGGTCTCATTCTTCTGATCGGCTATGTCTTTATAAAGCTTTGACATGCTGTAGTTTCCCAGCTTAATGTAAAACTGGCTGAGGATCCGGGCGTTCATACACAGCAGACTGTTGAGGTCCACAGGCACGATGGATGTTACATTAACATTCAACAATGTACCTGTTAAAAGTCATGATTAACAGAGATTCTCAATATAAAGCTACAGTGAAGTAAAATAGGATTTTTAATTGCAAATCAAATGGTAATGTCCAGTACAGCGGTTTACAGTTACAGTGTAGAATATAATTTAAAAAGTATGAGTACAATGTCTCATATAAGATAACAGAGCCTTGCACAGTCACCCACACAAGTCCAAAGCAGTAAACACCAATACATTATTCTGTACATAAACGCTTCAGATTCATGACTCTGAACCTCGGGGTTCGTGGTTCAGGAGGAGAGGCAACAGGACTCATGTGGGTGACTGTACTTTCCAAAATACTATGAGTTTTAAGAAATATATAGTTGATGTTGACTCTGCCTCTGAAATACTGAAATATATGGGAAAATTACACTGAGTCATTGAGATATCTTACCCTAATGTCAAGAATATTGTTCTCATGAGGATTCTGTATATACTGTACAATAAAAGAGGCAAATAAATATAAATACTGTACATAATTATATTGTATTTGAATCACTGTAGAGGAGTAAGAGATTGGTAAATAATACTGTACTCCTTTTGCCATACTTCACCGATAAGCCATTAGTGTACTGTATTAAGATGAGCCATTGATAGCAGACTATATAAAGCCTTTGATCAAGATACAAGACTCAATCAATTAAAATATTTACAATAAGCAAATAAAAGGTAAATTTTTTATTCGAGAACACTAAATGATTACTACATTTTAAGATGTGCAATAAACAGGTATTTAAAAATTAGTAGGAATAGTCTGATCATTGTTAAGAACATTCATGTTAGCCAGAATCAGATGACCACACTATTCCTATGATCTTTAGGTCCCTGTTTATCGCACTTCTTAAAATATAGTAATCATTTGGGGTTCTTTAGGATAAAACAAAATATTACCCTGTATAATCTTTCAATAATCATAGAACCTTAAAATCTTATGTATAGACTTCTCCAGCAGCCAACAGGTACAGTACTCACCCATAGTGAACGTAACACTTAACTTTATGAACACACACTCCAAAAACGTATCTTTACGGAGGGGGTCGATGAATTTCAAAATGAACACTGAGACTCCTTCATCCGTTGTCTAACATAAAATCATAAACATACTTTTTGGAGCATGTGTAAACATTGTATTGGTTTACAAATACTGTACCAGTTAAGGATACTTGAAGTACTTAGACTGTAGAGTACACAAAAAAATCATACCTTTGTCGTTTTTCTCTGATGTACAAAATACAGTACATTGTACTGACACTCTGAATAATATAGAGCTGAACATTAGTATGGTTATTCTTTGCATGCGAATTTAGTTTTGGCCAAGGATAGTGAAATGGATAATGTAGTTGAAGTAGTGTAAATAACAATGTATTTGATGTAGCGTAGATAGTGAAGTGGATGTAGTGTAATTGATAGTGTAAGTGGATGTAGTATAGATGATAGTTAAGTGGATGTAGTGTTGAATGTTTAGTGGATATAGTGTAGCTGATAGTGTAGTTATGGACAGAGGCTAGGAGCTCCCCCTCAAAAAGCTAACCTTGACATTGCCAGGTTCCGCAGTTAGTATACTATTTAAGCTAATTAAGAAGAGTTGAAGCTGGTTGTAAGCAAGAATAAGAAGGGTAATGTGTAGTGTATCAAGACTGGCTGGGATCACTGAGCAGGGGAGGTGAAAAGCAATACATCATGCATATCAGAGGGACAAGTATTAAAGGAATAACTAAGAATATGTATGATTCTACCATGTATAGGAAAAGATAGTAAGAAGAAATATAAAAATTGCAGGGGAATAAGTTTATTTAAGTTCATCTGGGAAGGAGTGTGAAGCCGTTATTATTGAGAGAATGGTGGAATGAGGTGAAAGTGTATTTAAAAGAGGACTGTGTAGGTTTAGAAAAGAACACAGATTTTTGGGGATCAGCTGTATGAATGAAAAATATTTGAAGATGAAGATAAATACATTTATGTCAGTATAGATCTGGAAGCAGTTCTGTATACCTGTAATATAAGGGAAACCCAAAACTGAAAGAGTCATCTAATAAAACTAAATTCCAATTGTGAATGTACCTACTCCATGAGTGGCCTCCTTTTAGTAAATAACTTGGCCAACACTGGAATTTGTTCAGGTATATTTCAACAGTAACCTACGGTCCTCTTTAGGTTGCGGTTGAAACATACAGTGCTCTTGTTTTTTTCTGTGTGTGTTTTACCTTCTCCTAGAGTGAGATGTTCAGGTATGTTCATACATGCATACAGTGAATAGACTGATCGTGTGACCACCTGGTAAGCTGACAAGTGACAAAGAGGATAAGGTAAAGCAGATGTAAGGCCATACTGGCTCTTTTTTATTAGGGGAAAAAATAATCAAATTCTGTGATCTATCTTGCAGTATAAATCATATAAAGGCCTAAAAATTCAGGAAAATGAAATAAAGCATTTCTATGTACATTTTCTTGTTAGCTTACACACACAAAGCACCCATTGCATTATGTAACTAAGAGGATGATGTAAAGCTAGAGCTGCATACATTCCTTGGCCAGGTAAGTAAATAATTAAGCAGACAGAAGCATTTAATACACCTGTACCTCACCCCTGTTTCTCAGAATCCTGTCTGGTGCCACCTTCAACTTGTACATCCCCACGACTACTAAAAGAACTACCAGAAGAGAGGACTTGGTCTTCACCAACCACCGACACATGAGGCAAAGTGCTAGTATATACACGCCAACTGTAATGAGTGCAGGCAGGCCGTGGGTCAGCAGAGACACATTTAGAGGGTAGCCCAAAGGACAGGTTAAATGGGTCAGTTAGTTATGAGCAGACATTGAGAGGAGAAAACTTTGACTGTAAATCCTCCAAACATCACTATGACTATATACAAAGCTTAGCCATTAATATTTACATGGATGCTTCTCATTTAATAATTTTGCATTCTTTGTACAGTAGTCAAAGTCTCCTCACATGCCCGACTGTACACTAAGTGAATGTCTAGTTATTATCATGCCTGTCTTAAGAAGCCATAAAGATAGCTAAGGTTAAAGCCTTGGTGAAAACTAAAGGTTACACCATCCACTTCCTCATTACTCCACAACTGCATTACTAAAATTAAGAAAAATACAAGTACTGTAGATTACTGGGCAACAGCAAGAAAAAAAAAGTTACAGGTATTTATTTTATGGTGACTAGAGAAGTTTAATTACAATGTTAGGGAGTAATGAAATAATGGATGCACAAAAGCCATACAGGTACAGGTACTTACAAAATACATGAAGGTCACTGGTGCTTTGACACAATACAGTAGCTATTAACTTCTAAGCCAATGCATTAAACTATATACAGTACAGTACTTCACCTCAGGGTATATGGGAATCTTGAATCTGCCAAGCACACACCCAACAGTGCTACCTGGTTCCAAGATATCTCCAATCCAAGTACAGTACAGAATATGCATTTTCAAAGCACCAGCTGAACTGCACATATTTCAAAACTGCAAAACCTAGTTCATATGAGGATGAACGGTTTCTATTTCTAGTAGGGAGTCCCCGACTTACGAACGTCCTACTTACAAATGCCCGTTGATACAAACAGAATTAAACTTGAAATTTATAGTATTTTATTTACCTGATGACTTATTCTTTAGATGTACTTTCATTTACTGTACAGTATTTTGTCATTCTATTTCTTCTTTTGTGATTTTAAGTGATTAAGTGATTTTAGATGTACTGTACATGAATATAATGGTTGCCCCTCGTGTAATGAGGATGGCCGGCCCAAGGCCACCTAGGCGTGAATTTGTTTAAGGTGTAGAAGCTGTCGCCAATACAACAACCACACCTTGAGTTAACGAGCTCCATGACCCAGTGTCAAGGAATAGTCCGAGAATACCGGACAACTCGGCAACTGCACTGACTAACCATTACCCCGGAATACGATTCGCAAATCGATTAACATCCAGGTTCCCAATTACTGCTAAGTAAACAGACGCAAATGGTGTAAAGAAACTTGCCCATAGTTTCACCCTGCCCGGGGATCGAACCCGGATCCGCTTGCTTGTGAGGCGAGCATGCTGACCAATACACCACAGGTCGCACTGGATGTATATAAGGACTTAGGCTATGATATAGTGGGATTTTAAACATTGTTCTGTATGTACATTAGGCACATAGCTTGTGTTCCAACTTACATACAAATCCGACTTAAGAATGTCCTCAGAAACGGAACCCGTTAGTAACCCGGGGACCCCCTGTACTGTACAGTACAATGTTTACATAAAAAATAATACAGGTCTAGAGAGCAGTTGGTAGCGAATAAATTAATAGTTTTACTGTATTGAAACCTGTATTATTTTTTGAAAACTCAACATACAACCAATATATTAAACATTTAGATATGAAAAGAAAAACAAAACCAAACAAAAAACAATGTGACAATTACTTAAAACAAACGCAGAAGGAATTTGAAGAATAAAGGTTATTTTAAAATACTCTACAATCCATGCATAGTTCGTGCAAAATGATCCATCTTATAAAATCTTTTCAATACTTGCTCAATATTTGAACTTAATGAATGTCCAGTCCCAAGATTGTACTGATATGCAAACCTTTATTTGTGTTGTTATTGATGAACCAGCGGGTAGAGTAGTCCCAGCCAGACTCGGCACCTGACTTCATCTGTACATACAAGTCCTCTTGTTCCTCTGTTGGCAACTGCTGAGCCAAATTGTAATCTTCCCTGAAATAACAACTTAGGATAGTACTCAAGATTTATTCTACCATCAGTTATGTCCAAGTGATATTACCCCTTGTGTACTGTACGGGGTTGCCTCTAAGCTGAATAAATTCGTCTGGTGCCAGACAAATAAAATATTAAAGTGGTGTCCCTGTAGTGAAGTGGTTAATAAATAATACAGTGGGGTCTCCATAATCCAGACCTCAGCCATCTGAAAGACTTAATTATCCAATTTTTCTTTTTAACTGGCTAGTTAGTGAGTCTACCAAAACCAGTTAGCATCTGTCAGTGCTTGGATCTAGTGCCCAAATGTTTGCTCAATATTTGTTTTCATATATATTGTTAAATTTTCATCCATCCAATTATGAATCATGATTAGCAGTGCTGTACTTCATAATTTTTACCGAGTGGAAAATATTAAAAAAAAAAAATCCTTAACTATCAACCATAAGATTGATATATCAAACAAACATGATGTAAACAATCATGGTGAAGTATGGTACGGGGGCCAGTATAGAGTGGATGATATAAACAAACAGAAAAATAATTTGAGAACTTTCCTAGCTACGGGTCGCTAGCGAGCCGATCTTTTGGTGAAGCAGATAAATGAAAAAGAAAAGTAATCAGAGACATGACCGATCGCCCAAGCGGCTAACAAGCCGATCAGTGGCGGAGAGGATAAAAGTAATAAATCTGACTCTACTAAAAGTGGCAACAGCAGAAAGAGTATTACAGTTCCTGAAGTTAACCAGTTAGATGAAACCTTCTGGTAATTTATAACCAAGAGATCAGAAGGAGTTGCAATGTCTGGTAATCAAAAAGACTAGATACAGTATTTCTAAGAACAAATGGAATAACAAAATGTAGTTTTTTAAAAGGTTTGTTAACAAGATTTAAGCTTAGGTATGGCATCCCAAAATGGGAAATATCAGATGAGGTTAACACCCAGAGTTTTAATCAACCTCTTCCATTGACGGGGGTCGTCATGTTTACAACCAGAGTTTAAAAAAAAATGAATCACAAAGGACATCCCACTACAGTGCTTGACGGGGAGGTATGGTAGTAAAATGGGCTAATTCCAAAATTATAAGTTAATTTTACAGCCATACCTCCCTGTCGAGCACTGCAGTGTGGTGTCCTTCGTGACCCAAATTTGTCAAAACTCTGGTTGTAAACCAGAGGGTGATTAAAACCCAGGGTCTAAGTCTGTTGGTGTTGAGGCAGCCGAGAAATACATTATAGTACTGAGATACTGTATTTGATAATTTTGTGAGATAGTAGTGCTGCCAGCTTCAAAGTTAGTGCTGTTGGTTCTCATAGACTAAAATTATTGGTGATAAGTAAATTAAAGAGCCCCAGGGCTTTAAAGAAAATTGCCACATTGTCTGTCCTGTAGTTTACAATAACCAATCTAATGTGTGGACGTATAGTGATGTTTTGTGTGATTCGTTAGAGATCTTACTACTGTACTGTATACTGTATATACAGTATACATAATTGAAATACAGTATGTAGTGGCGAAGAGGATAAAAGTAAAAGTAGTTAAAAAACTCATCAAGGAATGTAAAACACCAAGATATGAAATGACCCAAAGACAATGAAAAAAAATTCTTTACTCAATGAAATGTGAGCCAAGACTAACTCTTCATTATTTTTGATAACACTTAGTTTGTACTGTATGACTGGGAGACTATTTATAAAATGGCTAACTTGATAAGCATATTAAAAGACCTTGATCTGCAAAAGGCAGTGAAACTTTCAGTAAAAGTGTGTGTTAGGTGAGAGACCTTTCTTGGTATGAAAAATGTCTATCTTTTTATAAAAACTGTACACATAATGATCAGGGACATAATAATATAATTAATGTGTAGAGAAGGAGGACGTATTCTAACCTGTAAGACTCTGGTCTAGGCCCCCCAATATTGACACGGTACTGGGCCACAGTGTGGGTCTTGCCAGATCGGTCTTGCAACTCAACTGAACGGTCATTCTCCCAAAACAGGAACTCTTCTTCTAGCTTATCAATAATTTGCCTGCAAAGACACAAAATGATAAGAATCCATGACATACAAGGAACTTTCCTGCAAAAAACAACTATCAAAGATTATCTGCATATTCGGGGAAGATACAATGGTTCTCAAACAGAAGTCATAATGCATTAATTTATTAATTTTTCAATTATCATTTCACCAGCTATCAGCCATTTGGGCAGTTGGTCTGTTATGTTTACTTTGTTATGAACTTCATTGCGTAGTCTTAGTACAGGAGGAGACTGGAGTCCCCGGAGGAAATCTATGATGTTCAGTAGTGTGACACTGGTTAACACTCTGCCTGTGTATGTCTCGGGCCAAGACTCAAACCCATGACATAGAAGTAAAAGATCCACAAGTTACCACTGTAGCACCAACACCTGCACTTAATTGATGATAAAAACCTAACACAGTAAATGAAATTGTCCTGACATTCAGGAGCCAGTGCATGCCCAGTACAGTACAGTACAGTACTCCCTCTTTATCGACGGATTTTTTATCGACGGTTTCGATTATCGACGGATTATTTAGACGGATTTTTATTTTGGCTTTATTTGAACTCTGCGGGCCTTGTTTGTACTTCCGCCGCTAGGCAGCACTAGTGGCGTGACTAGCGTCTACCCGCGGCCCGCCTTCCCTGAACACAGACATCAGCCAAGCCGCGTGGGCAACAGTCTTTGATTTTCAACTTTTGCTGGTGGTTCATCACATCAACTTATATCACCATGCCTCCCAAACGACCTGCTGCTCCCTCTGGATCTACACCTAAGAGGGCAAGACGAGTGCTGACGCTGAATGAGAAGAATGAAGTGCTGAAACAACTCGACAGCGGTATGAGCTACGCAGCTGTTGGCCGCCACTTTGGGCTCAACGAATCCAGTGTGCGTGGAATTAAACGACGTGCAAAGGATCTGAAGCACATATGCTAATAATAGTTAGAAAAATTACGTAACCATCACGGTATCGACGGTTTCTTTATCGACGGCCGTCTACAGAACGTAACCCCCGTCGATAAAGAGGGAGTACTGTACTTGCCAACAGTGTGTAATAGAGACGTGACCAACCACCCAAGTGGCTAATAAGCCGATCAGTGGCAAAGAGGATAAAAGTTAAAGCAAAGTAAAAGTAAAATGATGAGAATAATTATGGAAACGAATTTCTCGTCTACGGGAAAGGGTCCTGGAAAGGGACGTGATTGCTGCCCGTATCATCATTGGGTATGGCTTTGCTTGGGAGATTGGTATCCCCGCATCCCTTGAGCAACGCTCTTGTGCATTATGCAGAAGACCCGACAGCAGCACCCTTACCCACTACCTCCTAAGATGTCCCCACACACAACGCTTCCGTGACGCCTGCTGGACCACCACTCCACGACCCCCTGACGGAGACACGATGATCCTCCCCATATTGGCCAGATATTTTGATTATGTGTTAAAGGAATATCCTTCCTTTCTTAGGCTTTAGTAAGCCCCTTTATAATATTTATACTGTATATACTTGTCACACTTGCCAGATGCTTCTGGTGTCATTGTACAGGGGTACCTAGTGACAGCACTTGGATCCCGCTTCCTCTATCAAGGAATAAACAATTGAAATTGAAATTGAATTGAACGAATTTCGTAAAACTAGATAAAACATAAAATACTGTACTGTATTGTACAGTATATAGGTAATGTTACAATAACATAAAAGAATCCGAGATACTGTATATCCCTACCGTAATTAAAATCTATAAAAACACATATACTGTAATGCAATGTAATTATGCCCTTTATTCTGGAAAATATTATTTAAAGCAAATGAATGTAGAAAAATATCTGTACTGTACTGTATACAGTATTATATGTTATCTACCTTAAGGCTATACAATTACTGTACTGTAGAGGTACTGCATAAGCAAACTGGGAGCAGAACAGCACAATAAGAAAATCAAAGTCATGACTCACGCAAGGAACTCTAAGTCGTTGGTATGGTCCATGTAGAGCTTCACCATGGGGATGAGGTAGGGTGGCTGACTCCTGCGGGTGTAGTAGATACGGCCTCCGTTGGGCACCATTCCATATTCCTTGACCATCTCGACAAAGTTCTCCAACATCCCTTTCACCGTCTCGTTCATCTGTGACAGCAGCAGGGCATCAATGGTCCAGTACGAGTCCCAATAGTAGAACTCCCTGAAAATATATTCTTAAATGACTCCCAAAAGCTAAAATAAAAGGCCTCCACAGAAAGTAGATATAACGGTAATATTGCAGTTTACAGCAACCACATATTTCCAGAAATTCATTACATTCAATCAATAGAACTATTTTTTCTATTATCACTTTCTTACATTACACTTCCGTCGCAAATTGATAATAAGGAAGTTATTGATTTTTAAAAAGAATAAAATCAGAGCACCTGTTGCCCCTACGCATGTCGAGGGGCAGTTGCCAATCAAATGAGGGGGCTGCAGCCAATCAAATGGGGGGGAGAGTGGCTGCAGCCAATCAAACTCTGGGGGAATGGCAACCAATTAAATCCAATAAAAAATCTCAACATTTGATTCAACGAATTAGCGTTCAATATTCAGAGTGGGTGGCAGGATGCGGGACATTTTTAATCAGTTGCAACATGGAGCAATTATGTGCTGGGTGCGATTTCGATTATTGGAAGTTAATTGTATTATTTAATTCTAAAAATAAGGGAACTTTAGAGAACAGAGGAACCCACGATCCATTCTGGTCCCTGACTCGGACTAAGGTAAGAAATATTGTAACGGCTATTTATATTCTCGTGGAGGCTGACCACGCGACTCTAGGGTCATTACATAGCATTTGGGGGTCTGGGAGCTTCGGCTAGGGTCACCAGGGGTCCGGGGGCGGAGCCCCTGTCTTGGGGGGTTAGGTATGGTTTAGTTTGGTTATATTGTATAAGTTAGCAAGCACAGAGTACCGGGAATTCAGAACACACAATCGATAGGGGGCTAATTCAAAACGAGTTATTTCTGATAAAAACGAATGTCAGATTTGAACCAATCGCAAAAAAAGCCACCAGAAAAACCTTTATTTTATCAGATTCTTAGTTTGCTGTAATCTGCCATTTTACCTGTATTACACCCATTAATTTTTCAATAATTGTCGTCTATTGTATTTAGAAACCTTAATTGTTGCAGTACATTAAGAAATTACAACTACAAAGTACACCCACCAAAAAAAAAATAAAAAATCCTCACAGTCCTCACTCCATCCATGAACCCTGAGACTCATGAACCTGTGAATCTGAGACATCACACATTGTTTTGTGTGATGTCTCAGATTCACAGGTTCATGAGTCTCGAAGGTTCATGGATGGGAGAGAGAGGACTGACATACAGTATTTACACTCACGTCCTCCTTCTCACTCCTCATTCCCCTAAGGACCCACCTGAACCTGCCGCCAGGGACGATGACTGGGTTGGGTACATAGATCTGGGAGTATCTATCAGGTTCAAGCTGTACGTCTTCAGAGATCTTACGGCCGAGCTGCTTCCAGAGGCCGTTCAGTTTGAGGCCCCACTCTTCCAGGGCGGGATCCACCACTTTCTTCAGGAATTCAGGGCTGGAAAAAAAGAGGTGTTACTGGTGGCCATTAATTTATAATAATAATAAAAATAATACTAATAATACTAATAATAATAATAAAAATAATAATAATAATAATAATAATAATAATAATAATAATGATGATGATGATGATGATGATGATGATGATGCTGATGATGATGATGCTGATGCTGATGATGATGATAATAATAATAATTACTTTAGCAGACAAAACGGTTCAAGCTTAGTGTGAATTCTTTTAAGCTTCTCCTGTCATAGGTCACAGGAATATCCCCAAAATTAACATCAATGTTGGCTGTAATTAGGAAGTGTTGTGTACCCATAGTTACACAACTACAGTGAGACATAACATTACACTACATAACATAACACAACATAACATAACATTTTACGGAAACTCGATTCAAGGTTCAGATGTCGACATTGTAGACAGACAGACAAAGAGCAAAACATCATTATATGCACCACTCTATGCAGGGTATAAAAATCGTTACCATGTAATGTAAAGTAAACCGTTCATGTCATACAAGTGAGAATTGTTTGACCTAAAGGTGAGAGGTAAGGAGGGCGCGTTACATGCTGTGTTAAGAGAGAGAGAGGGAGCGGTAGAAAAGAAAAAAATAACGAGAGGTTTAATATCAAAGTGTGAAATACGACAGATGGCGTTAAATGTGGAGACCAAGACCCGTCTCTGGTGTGGTGTTGAGAGGATTTAATTGGCATTGCAGCAGTCGTAAACACAATACCTGGGAACGTTATATATGACGGCGTTATTCATCCAAGAAACAGAAACTCATATCACATAAATAGACTTTGGTTTGGCTTGTGGGTTTGATAAAGAATAAACAATAAAATTTGTAATAATAACAAAGTGAATTAAAATAGGAGACATGAAGGCAAATAAGAATGTTTTGTGAACAGTAAGATGAATTAAGACGAACTATTGAACATCTCGAGTGTGCTGTGATCCCTGAGCAGCAAGCTACGATGATAGTTGGGACACCTATAGGTCATACCCCTTCAGGAGGACACTGCCGCTGCACCTCCCCGCCCACTCTCTTGCATATCTCCTTTAAGGTAGCACCGCCTAATAATTCCCAGGTGAAACTGATCATTGTGTGCAAGTCCGAATGAGGAAGACAGCGTTAGTATTGTGATAATAGAGAGCCTGTGTTCATACCGTTGGCTGAATGAGAGAATCCTAGAGGAGCTGTGTTCGTATTGTTGACTGGGAGAAGGAAATTTAAAATACGAAACTGTAGCCATATATTTGGGGTTGTACGGTGTTTGTATGCATGTAATGTCAGTTGTCAACAGTGCGTAACAGAGAGCCAATACATGCCCACAGTGCCAACAGTGAGTAACAGAGACGTGACCGACCTTCCAAGCGGCTAACAGGCCGATCAGTGGCAAAGAGGATGTAATAAAATAAAGTATACTAAAGTAAAACACTGGAATTGCAATAGCTTACAACCATAATACAAAATGAGGTAATGTATGAGAACATCGCTACTATCAGAAGGAGTTCGATTTCGTTAATTTTTTCGACATATATTCTTATCATTATAGTAATTATCATAAAGGAGGAGACATTTACTAAAACCTAATAGAATCTGACCTAACCAGCCCGGGAGTGCCACCCTCTAGACCCTTGCCATATAAAAAAAGTACTTACTTTGATATCTGGTTCCAATAAAATCACTTTTGCTGAAGCAATTTTACGTTTTTGTGGATGTGAGAGTATGTTGGGACCCAGCAGGTTAGTTGGAAACAACAAATGATACGCGGTGACTACAGAGTTTTCGGAGGTTTTATGGTAAACAGTTAAATTATTCAAATATAAAGCACATAGAGACATCATTTTAGTGTTATATGATCAGTTTTTTACCGTGTTTTACCCCGCAATTTACCTCATCCTTTATGCACTGCCCACTACAGGTGATTTATGATCGTAGATATTAAAAACTAAAATAAAAACAATCTTATAATTAAAATAAAAAGTTTTAGCCCATTTTAAACTATTTACTATAACAATAAGAACAACTGTGAAAAAAATTAACGAAATCGAACAACCCCTTCTGGTGGTAGAAGTTTCCTCATAAATTATCAAAAATAAAAACGTTTGCCCTTATAAAAAGTTTCAGTTTCTTTGATCGTATCAAAGAAAACGGATATAAGTAAACAATACCTGAATGAGCTTAAATGCAGGAATTAAATGACTTTGAATGAGATTAAAGGCGAAAATTAAACTACCTTGAATGAGATTAAATCCAAGAATTAAATGACTTTGAATGAGATTAAATCCAAGAATTAAATGACTTTGAATGAAATTAAAGGCGAAAATTAAACTACTATGAATGAGAATAAATTTGGATATGGCAACGTATTACTAGTGTACCTAAGACGGGAACTTGTCTCATGAATATCTTCCCCATAGCATTTTATGTAATAATTATTTTATTTACAAAAGCTCTATCACTTTTGTACATTTAACTTATAATCGTATTTATTTACTATTAAATAGCACGATGCCAATAACATACTCAATAAGAAGTATTTAGTAATTAGCTTTGCTTTTATTATATTAAATTCTTATACGAATTTATAATAGTTTATCATTAAAATTTTCATTTTCTGTCTGTATAGAAGAAAATGGTTAAAAATTGTTTATGGGGAACCTAAATAAATGTTCACCTTTTAGTGGACACGAACTTTAATTTCATGCACGTTTTTTGTCCGTAAGCATTACAAGTATTGTAAGTCTTTATTACGTTATGCCGTAACACTTTATATGTTGTGGCAAAATATGTGTTTAGTGAAAAATATATTTGAATTAAAATTTACTTTATATTCTTTGCCACTGATTGGAGGTTGCAACGAGCCGAGTTATATGACATGGAACACAATATAGGAATTGGATTATCGTTTTCCAATTTTCAGCATTAGACAGAATATTATGTTTCAACTGAAGGTCATAAACTTTAAATTTTCGCTGAAAAGTGATAAATGAATTCGATTATTACATGAATGATAACTTTGTGAGAAATTGGTTATCGTTTTGTGTGTGCGTGTGTGTAAAGAAGACATTAATACTGTCTCACTGAGGCAAAACATCGATGATGTGCTAACTCTAAACCCCTGAAATTTATCAAGTGCAAAATTCAGGTGTGTTGGGAGACATAAACATCACCCCAACACACTTGAATTTTTCTCCAAGTTTACGTTCTCATGACACTTAAGTTTTACGCCCACAGACACCATAACCGTCTTCTTCACATAAACTTAAAACAAAAAATAATATCGTGCCATCTTTAAACTCTTTATATACCCTTTTATGGACTAAGTTAAGGCATCCGAAACGCAATGTTTGAGTAAATAACCCACGTCTCATGTTGCGCGCCTTAGTTTTGAATAGCTCTACGGTTCGGCGGCGCATTCCAGTGCATAGGCACACACTTCTGCAAACAGCCGACACCTGCCACTTGGGGGAGATTCACCTTGTGGTAGAGTCGAAACCAGAATTTATGAATCAGAAAGCGAATATTATATTATGAAATTATACAACAAATGACAGTATTCATAATGACTAAAGTGTTTCTGAACGTTGGTATTGTACCTAACCGAGTTATTCAGACCACTGTCCTGTCTGTAAGTCAATGTTGATAAACAATAAACATCCGTACCATTGTTTCCCTCCCTCCCCACCTCACCATTTCCTATTTCTCCTCTCCCATTCCTCCCCACACCCCATTTCTCTCTCCCAAACCCCACCATTCCTCATACATCCCTTCTCCAGCACTCCCCATCTCTCTTCTTCTCTTCCCTCCCCACCCTACTATTCTCCACCCCTATCCTATCACCACCTCTGTTCCTGCGTTTTTATCTAGTTTGAAATATCATATAGAGTACAGTCAGTCAGCGAGGGAGGGTACGGCCTTAACACAGAGAGGTGGGGAAGGTAAACGGGGATGAAGGGTGCTTGGGAATGTAGTGATAGTGGTGTGTTGTGACGAGGAAATGGTGCTGGGGAAGTGTAGTGACGGGGGAAGGTGTGTTGGGGAAATGTGGTGACGGAAAGAACAGTCATCATGATATATAGCCTATTAACCTTCACAGCAAAGAGAAGAGGAAGCTTTGACTAGCACCATTATTTATCCAAGGGTGACGTAATATTTTTAAACCAGGTTCTTTACTACGGATTTATTCCAAAGTTAAATTTAAATCTAGCCAACTTCTCTATATTCACAACTATTAAAACCTATTATTTCCACATCTCGGTAACCATAAGGAAATTACATTTACGGAGGCGTTTAGGTAATGGTTTGTTTTCGAAAAATTTTGGAAGGGTTATGTCAATTTTTTTTTCATATCTAGTCTTGAATTAATAATAATAATATTTAATTACTGTGTTATTTGATGATGATAAACGTAAGGGAAGGACCAGGTGGAGTTTTATTCTATGTTTTTTTCTATAAACAAAAAGCGATAAATTGTTAGGCAGTAGTTTATTGAAAAGCATTGAGGTCAGCTGTAAACACGAGGCTACGAAGCGCTCTCAGTGCGATAGCTGTTCACTGAATAAACATAAAAATATTCTAACCTTCCGGGTAGATCAACATACACTGCTAAGTCATCCAGCCAACAGATACTGGCAGTCGGTGACGGGTGGAGGAGTATAATGGTATACGGTATATTAAACAGGTAGCAATATTATCGAGTTAAAGATTGCCTTCAAGATTGAAATTAATCCTAAATTCTATTTGTACAGTATACTGAGTAAACATTATTTATGAACTACCCAACCTATTTCATATCTGATGTTTGATGTAACTTATAAAATTGCACGGAGAACATCTAATAATACCAAAGACAGTGTTGTTTTAGTTGTATACATTGTGACAGTCAGTTTTGGTGTCGCTTTTAATGGACAGTGTCTGAGAAAATGTTTTAAGACAAAGGTAAAAGTTGCGGCGGGTTGAGTAGCGGAGACTCGCT